CCACCTGCTCCAACGCTGCTACTGTGCCCAGCATCATTACCTTCTTAGCTGATTTCTGTTGGGTACCTTTCTTCCAGACACCCCTAAAGAAGACTAATGCCCTCATTGCGCAGATGGGAATAACCTTCCTAAACGCAGTAAGTGTTTACCTTAACTCTTTGAACTTCCGAGGTATGTGCGTTTCTGTACTTTGTGTCTCAGGTAATTTAAAATCTCAAACCTGGAAATAGTTTTATGAAGTCTGTATGTATGTGGTGTTTTTTTTTTTTAAATTCAATCTTTAACTACTTTTAGGTCACAAAATGAATATAGCTCAAGGTCATGTTCAGAACCTGAGAGGGCAAGTTTCTCTTCCTAAAAGTGCTTGTCTTAACTTTCTTAAGCAGTACAGTAAAATTGAGTAACCTGAGTATTTTTAACTCCCTGAGAAGCATTAGAAGCAGCTACTTAAAACTTTTCAGCTTTGTGCGTGCTGAAAACCCACTTTACTCTTTTCATGCTCTACTGTATTGCTGTGGCTAAAATAATGGAGCAAATCAACTGGCAGACAGTGTTTTAATGGATATTTGCTGCTGTGTAAAAACTATATCTAATGGGGGGGGGGGGGTTGAAAGGCATGTGATGTAGAAACCTAAAACCAGTTTCATGTGCAGCTTTCTACTAGTGAAAACACTTGGGATGTAATTCTCCGTGTCAAAAAAGGAGTATGCTTTAATGTTGGTCAACTTTTTAATCAAGCTATTAGCTGATATTTCAAAACTGTAAATTATGGGGAAAAATTGGTTTACAATGTTGATCTTGTATCTCTTCATCCTGTTTTTCCAGTATGTTCCCAGTGCACTTTGCTGTCCCAGCCGAGCTAGCATTTTAACAGGAAAATATCCACATAATCATCATGTTGTTAATAACACTCTGGAAGGAAACTGTAGCAGCAAGCTATGGCAGAAGATTCAAGAACCATACACCTTCCCAGCACTGCTCAAAACTATGTGTGGTTATCAAACATTCTTTGCTGGAAAGTATTTGAATGAGGTATTTTGTGCTTATTTTTTTTACTGTGAGAGTTTGTTTGCATTTGTCCACCTTTCTAAAACATTCAGTTATTTTCATCTTTGTAGCTGATGGTAGGTCCCCAAAATGTTTAAAATGGTGTTACTTGGATGAACAGTTCTCTTTGCTGAGATAGGATAAATATGGTGCAAAGTTCAGACGTTTAACTTGGTTAAAATCAGGTTCTGTAGGTTCCTGAATGTTTTTAAAAGTTAATTTTGAAAGGACGATGGAATCCAAAGGCTTTTTTCGTATGTTCAGATGTGTTCATTGTTCGAGATGATGATGGGGGAAATGGATAGATGTTTGGCGTGTGGTATTGAAGAACACCATCAAGCTGGTGCCAGACCAGGCATGATGTTAGAATAATGTTAAAGAAAAAAATCAGTTTGTCTCGGTATTTCTGACTGATATATCCCCTTGAATCAGAGGACTATTTTGTTTTTAGCAGTTAATATAGTATTTTAAATATTAAATGTTCCCTGAGGCAAATTCATTGGGAGAACAGATATTGTTGGAGTTCTTTACAGAGGTTACCCAACACTTTATTACTGAATCACTTGTATGTGTGTGCTTTTGGGTTTTTTCTGGTTTTATCTAAGCTGTGGTTTGTCGCAGTTTATAGTAAGCTGTAAAATTCAGCGCTGAAAGCTCTAAGATCAGGTGTTCCTCTTGGGTGATGGAATTGTATTTGGAGCTAGATGAGTTACAGGGTTCTCAATGGCGTTATTTTCCTTGCATCTTTTGGTGGAAAATGTTGGTGGTATAATAGAATAATGGAACAGGAATTTTCATAGCCAGGCACGATTTGTTTCTGCTGATGTTGCCGAGGCAGCTAGGGGAAGGGAAGCTTATCTGGCTTCTTCTGAGCATCTCTTGACTCAGCAGTCTCCTGTCCCCGCAGTTAGGCGAGCCATGTGGATGGGAGAGGGCAGCCCTGAGAAAACCCCTTGTGTTGCTCTGAGGCACCCTCTGTTTTGGGTTTGGCACTGATTGAGCAGCTACTTTCCTTTTTTTTGCTGGCTTAAATAATCTACAACAACTAGCCTTTGGCACTGAGGTGACAAGAGGCTAGCATTGCTTAAAGTTTGCACCCCCTTTTGGGGGAGGATTATGGAAGCTGTTGGTCTACGCACATTTTTCTTTAGTATCTTGTGACCTGTTATCACAAAGCCTAAGGGTGTCTTGTCGCATGTGTGTTTTGATCACCTCTCATTACCTGATGCTGTACTGTATGTTCTCCAGGATCTCTGCATACTTTCATGTGCAGAATAGAACAGGGAATAAAATTCAAATTTCATTGCTGAATGCCAAGCTTTCAGTTACTGTCTTTCTAGTTATTTAACCCTGGTTCCTTTAACAGGCTATACATGTGGGTTTATATGCATATATATTCATTTTTTTCCATTCTGAAATCGAATTTGGCTTAGTGTAGTTTCTGATTAGTGTTGAATAAAGCACATGAATATCAAATGTAATTTCTAGCTTTTATTCATCATAATTGAAACTGAGTCATGGTCTGTCTTTTTTCAGTATGGAGCAGAGGATGCAGGGGGAGTAGGTCACGTCCCTCCTGGATGGAGTTTTTGGTATGCTTTGGTATGTGACTATTCTTTTTTTTAAATACTTAATTTCAGTTGCTTTGTAATCCAAGTCGTGTTCTAACTTTGATCATGAAAGAGCATCTAACAACTTAATGCAAATTTTCTCCCCTTTTTTCCTCTGCATATCAGATCCTTGGCTTTCACAAAAGCTGCTCTTACTAAGGTGCCTGGGAAAAAACCCCAATGTGCAAAGCCAAGGCAATGTGAAGTAGCATTAAAAGAAGTTTTGTTGTTGGAGACCAGTTCTGAGAATTCTTGCGGTGTCTTTGTGACAAATGCTTGTAACCTATTTGACAAACACTTGTTGGCAGCTCATTTTGGTTATTTCAAGTAATCAATGTACATGTTACTTTGTATAAATACACACACAACTTTTCTTTTTCACAGGAGAAAAATTCAAAGTACTACAACTATACTCTTTCAGTAAATGGCAAAGCACGAAGGCATGGTGAGAACTACAGCGTAGATTATCTGACAGACGTACTGGTAAGAAATTTTGTAACACCTGTGTTACAGAAGCTGCTTATGATCAGATAATACCTCATGCTGGGGGCTTGGGGAAGGGTGGGGATGATAATTTGTTAGGCTGCATTAGTTCATAAATACATGATTGTGCTGTCGTGATGGTGGGTGGGCATTAATCAGCAGAGCAAGATTCTGGGTGTATTTAGAAATGACAGGTTTGTGTGTACGAGCCGTGGAGAGGAAAGGGTTTCCTTTCCTGCCCATTTGCTAGGCAGTAGCCTCAGGTTAATACTGACTGCTACAGTGCATAAGGAACATGATGCATGTAGGGAATGTCTTAAATTACTTCATAGAAGGATGTGTTTCATTACAATACACAAATTCTGTAACAGATTAACTGGGCTGAGATTTCAGTGGGAAGTTAAGCATGTAAAAATAACTTTACACCATGTTTCAGTAGTTAGATATTATGATGTGTCAGTATCTTGTAATCTCTAATTAGCCAAACTGATAACTTGGAAATACCAAAGGCTAATTGATCCTCTATAGTGTGTGAGGGCAATGTATGAACTGTGCCAAAGTACATCGCTGACCAGGGGAGTCTTTATCCTCTTTATCCTCTTAAGGTAAAGAGAGGTAACAAAGATATCAAATACTTAAAGGAAAGTTGGAAGTTACTTTATTTAGCTCTCTTGAATCATAGAGGCCCTGTTTAGCAAGCAGTATTAGCCTGGAGGGGGTTTTTTGGGAGGAGGGAGGGGAGGAAGTGCTCCCCCGCCCACTAAGCTGGAGTCTTAGTCTGACATGTTGTGACAGTGTATGAGTTGGTAGTGCTGGAACCTCACACGCAGCACTCGGGGAAAATTCTTCTCTGAGAAGTCCCCTCATGCAGTTGATTTGTAGTCTTCCATTGAGACCCTATTGAGTTTCATTCCAGTGGGTTCTTGAACAGAGACAGCTGCTTACTAGGAACAGAACTGATTGATGTTTCTTAGGGTGCTGAACAGCTGTCTGATTAAATTTAGATTTACGCTGTCTAAAGCTAGATTGGAATTGATAAGCCAGAAGTGAGACTATCCTGTTACTGGCATTATACTGGTCTTTTTTGATCCTTCAACAGCTCGTAAGCATTTTGGCCAACAGGTCATTGCTGCATAAACTTCTTAATTGCAGTGTGTTACCTGTTGATACAGCAGTATATTGGTTTTTTCAGTGTGTTGCATTCTACCTTCTGCCTGTAGTTACCAAATATGTATTCAGCATTTCAGAACTAGTGTTTAATTCACTCGATGGGCAGTGCACAGGAGTAAATTGCTTATGCAAAGTTCTTGTGTTGCTTGATGTGATGCACAAGCTTTCTTGTCCTGACTAAGGACATCTGGGTACTTAAGTCTGTGTCCTGGCTAAACCACGATGGTCTGGTATTAAGAATCCGAACACCTGGATCTGTCTACTGCAGTCCTGATGTTTTGCAGTTTAAGGTCCTAACAAAATATAAGTTGACTATGTCTGTGAGTTTGCCTACATTATACTGGTTTCTGAACCAGGTTTTTGAACTTCATACAGTTCGTATCCTCCCTGAAGCTTTAATTTCAAAGGCTGACCAAGGGAAGGCTGAAATGAAACTCGCAATCTCTTTTAACTCGCTGCTTGAAATTGTGTATAGGCTGAAACGAAAATGAAAGTGCAGTGAAGTAGTGTGAGTGGAGCTTGGCACTCTCCTTCACTAGAGCTTCTGGCTGCACCAGCAGAAATGCAGCACCCCTTAGAAAACAGGAGCTTGCTACAGAATAAGCATACGCTATAAACACTGGGGCTGAAAAACTTTTTCAGAACTATTGCTATTTCTGAAGACAATTGAAACTGCTAAACTGGGATCTCTCAGGCAGGAGATGGCATCTGAGAGCCTCAGAAAGACTCAGACTGTGTTAAAGAAAGCTCCAATTTTACTTGATGAAAGCAGAGTTTAGGTGGATTTTGTTGATACATGGAATAAGCACAAACTTTTGATGAGCTTTCCAGGTCTAAATAATGCAAAGGTCTGAAGTAGAAAGCCGTTCGGAGATGTGGGACAAATGATTTGTTTGACATGAACACTTGGGATTTTTTTTTTTTTTTATCACAAGCTGCTGTTCTGGACACTTGTAGATGAGCAAGCAATAAGTTTCTGAAATAGTTTAAATGTTCCCAGTACTACTGAGCTGTAAATAAGTTATGAATGTCTAGTTTGGATTTTTCAAATACTTGCTGTTTTCCTTTGGAGGTATGACTTTTCTTCTCCAACAAAACTGTTCACAGGCCAACATGTCATTGGACTTCTTGGAGTATAAATCTAATTTTGAACCTTTCTTTATGATGATCTCAACCCCAGCACCGCACTCGCCTTGGACAGCTGCTCCACAGTATACGAAGAGCTTTCAGAATGTCAGTGCACCAAGAAACAGCAATTTTAATATTCATGGCAAGGTAAGCTAACTAGCAAGAATCAGCATAGGTTTTTCTACTAGTTTCTGAGAGCAGTAGGCGATGACCCTGACTTGCATGTTAAGTTTAAACAGTGAGAACAGGCTAATACCATGACTACTGGTTGTTTAGTTATGTTAATCAGCCTTTCAGGGTAAGATATGTTTATTGTGACTTTGAGATATTTGCATACCAGTATCTTGTAAATAAAAAAAATGTAGTGGCAAAAATGATAAGGCAGTACAATGGAATTAGGATCGAGAAATGGAAAAAAGTTAATTCCTTGCCCAATTTCCAGACTGTTCTGAAGCTCTTAAAATGTTCTCTGTATGTTCAGGAGAACACATAGGTAGCATGCTGCACAAAGGCTCAGGTGAAGAATGACGAGAGCCCTGTCTCCTACACACAACTGCTCAGTGCGGATGGGTGACCATTGAGCTCGTGGCAAAGCTGCCCCTAGGTGACCAGCGTATCGGACTAACCAGAGGACTTCATGAAATTGTGAACCACAGGGCCCAGGGTCACTAAGGATTTTGAGAACTTGCCTTTCATTTGTTGAAATAACCTGTAACCAGAATTGCTGAGCCTAATGTTACAAACTTGCAGACGTCCTTGTGACAGGGGAGTACCTTCCACTGCCAGTAAACTTGGCCAAATACCATCTAGCTCAGACTAATCCGTTGCTACTTACTCTGCTAATAAGTGAAAGGCACAAACAGTTAATCTGGTAAGATACTTAACTTACAGAAGTTTTGTATTTTTGGTTCAATTAGTTTAAAATATAGAACTCACTACTGTTCAACCAATTCACTTAAAGATTTGCTCCTAATCTTAGGGCTAAGAGATGACATTGCCTAAATGCCTGTCTGGAGCCCAGTGATACCTCTTCTAAGGTCACTGTGTCTCATGTAGTACAGGGTGAAACTTGTTTTTAGCTGAGTGTTGTAGCTTGCAAGATGGCCATGTGCTTATCGGCATGATATAAAAACATGGATGAAAGGGGAGAAAAGGGCTGCAGGCAGTAACAAATACTTTAGCGCAACCTGTTAAGTTTCAAACTAGGGAGTGGGAATCAGACTGGGTTTTTTTCTTCCTAAAAGGATCCCTACCTTTGTCTTAAGATTCCATTGCTGTAATAACTGAATGCTTTTAAAATAGTGAGCTGGAAATAACTTGACCAGCAAAGTCAGCAGCTAGCCAAAAAATACATTGTGGGAGTTCCCTTATGTGGAGCAAACACAAAAGCTCTGCATGTGCCTATGTAGCACAAAGCAAAAGAAGACTTACTTAATGTTTGGTAGTTAGTGTCTGTGGATACAGCAGTTTTTACTAGGTTTTGCAATAGGAACAGACTAGCATTACCCTTCTTCCTAGACACAAAATAGCTACGATCATTAACAGTGTGCATTTCTGTAATTGGCAGCGTTGTGGTCTTGAAGTCTAAATCTTCTTTGAGCTTCACTGTTTTCCAAGGCAAGCACAATTCCTGCAATAGCAATAAATATGTACATAGGCTCAGACCCTCAAGTCATTGATGTTGTAATGCTTGCTAGACAGTCTTGCCATTGTACAGTCTTGATTCCTAAATTAATGTTGCCTAGCTTCCTTACACAGTATGTGGGCAAGGGGTACTAAAAGGAGCCATCTAGGCAGAATCCCTGCATGAAAAACAGGAGTTAAGTTGTTGTTAGACTCTGGTGCACTTTAATTTCTGCTTAGGAACCTCAGCTATGAACTATATCAAGTGTTAGGTAGCTGTCTGGTATCCCAAGCAGGACTATTGATAGCCCAGATGAGTGGTTTATCTAAGCCATCCTGAGAGAGAAGCTGATTAAGATGTGTGCCAGGTATTTCTCCTGCTTGCAGTGTTTTTCCTGCAAAATCGGAGCACAGCTGTGTTCAGACGCTGCTGGCCAGATATGGTATGCTGTCTCAAGGTCTCCTAAACTTTCTTTGAGAATGGGACATAGGGTGGCAGCAGGATTGGTGGATAGCTTTGTACATAACCAGTGAAAGAAACTTGACAGGGACTGACAGGGAAGCAGATTTGAGGACTCTGAGTCAGTGTGAAGTTTATTGAAATCCACAAAGATGTTTAGGTGCTGTGTGGAGTTCCTGAAGCTTTAGAGAAAGGTAGGAAGAACAAAATACTCCAGAGAAGAGGAAGATTCTACTGCACTAGGTGACTTACCTGCCCAAGTTACCCAGCATGGCTGTGCCTTATGGAGGGCCTCTCCTGAGCCCACCTCCTGTGAAAGGTGGCTGATGCACAGGTGACACTGCCAGCTTCCTTCCTTCTCTGAAGAACTTCTGCTGAGCTGGGGATGGGGTTTGTGATGTCTTTCATCACTTTTTCCTCTCTCAACCAACACATAAGTCCTAGATGTTTGGTCTTGATTATGCTGTGAGTTTTCTTGCTGAGAGAGACTTAGAGTCTCTCCAGAGAATAGTTTTACAACTGACATGAGAGAGAGATCTGAATACAGTGGAATTAAAATAAACTGGACATGGTATTAAGTCTCCATGCCAAAAATCTTCCCTTCAGTCTACAGGAACAGAAAACAGGAAAACTGAATAATTGCAGGAGATATGAGTCACTTCATTGTGAGTCCCTTAAGCCTGAGCCTGTTCAGAGTCATTCGCTTGTGACAGGAGGGAAATTGCATAAACAAGAGGTTCTATGGAGAGGAGTGACCAACTAAATACAGGCTTAAGCTGAGGGTGATGAGAGGGTCATCTCTGACCTACTAAATGAAAGAGTGTAAAGCTGCATTGACATGACTTTCTCCTTTATTCCGCTCCCCACTAATGCTAACCTTCAGGTTGTTCACAACAGACCTTCCTACGCATTTGCAGAGCAGCTGATACAGTTCAGGCTGGTGCTTCAGGATGTGGGATTATCACTTTTCGTATGAGTTAGATTATCTCCGTTACTTCGGGGGGATGGGTGAGGGGAGAAAGGGAGGGGCTGTTTCTGAAAGTTGGGGTTGCGGCTAGAAGAATCGTTAACACTTCAGCAAAATAAATGCTCTTGTTCTGGAGTGAAAAAAAAAAAAATCCAGATAAAATGGTAACGTTTCTGCTCCCCTCAGTGGTTTCCAGCCCTGAGTTCACAGGCTACCAAGAATCTGACAGTGGTGCCATTACAGATCTTTGTCCTCACCTGTCCATAAATTAAGTAGTCCTACTTGCTTTTGAGGCAGGAGTTTCTCCCCACCTCTCTACCTATGTTAGGATGCTCACCAATCTTAGTCTCAAAAGAACCTCCCTTGGACAGCCAAGTCCAATCTTACAATGTCGCTCAAGCCTTTAGATTTTGGTTTTTTCATCAGACCTCTCTCAGGCTATCACTTTTATCTCTGGGAGAGCCTTCTCTAGCTCCTTTCACAAATTTCTTCCCTGAACTGCTTTGAAAAGATCCACAGATATTTTCTTCTCACCAAGCGCTGAGTGTAATGGAGCTGTAATATATTCTACTGTTGCAACTTAGATTTTACATGAACCAAGAGGGAAAACTGGAGTCAGGTCAGTCTGAGAGCATTGCCTGGCTATTTCGCAGGAATCATGTGGATGTTTTTACCGTAAGCAACATTTCTGTTTCAGTTGGTCTAAGAAAGGTATAAAAGCTGGGACTTCTCTCTTATGCTCATCTTTCGGTCTTTTTTTCTTTAGAACAAGCACTGGTTAATTCGACAAGCAAAGACTCCGATGACTAACTCTTCAATACAGTTTCTTGATGATGCTTATAGAAAGCGGTAAGAATTGTTTTGTTGCTTAAGATTTCTGCTTGGGACTTACATTGTTTTTAAAAAATGAAAAGGTATGGTTTTTTTAAAAGGGTTGTAATAAGTCTGACAATAGATGTCAGATTACCTGTAATAGTTCTCTGGCATCTGTCTCTGCAGACCTGACTTCTGGTTTACTTTTTGCAAAGAAACTTGTCATTGACTTCAGGAATATTTTGCTCCCAAATGCTGCCATCATTTATCATAAAAAAGACCAGCCATGCTCAGTGTCTCTACTGCTTCTCTTCCAGTGCACAGCAGGTTTTCATAAAGAATGACCTTACCTTCTACTTCACTTGAATTCCAGATTCTTACATGATGTGCATTGAATATGATCGATTTATCTGCCAGCTAATCTGATTCATTAACCTTGGCTCTCAGTCTGGTCTTTTTACATGGGAATACCTGACTGGCCAAAGGCGGGTGCTTGATTCTTCTTTATAAAAGGCGGATGTGGGGAGTAATGTGAAGATACAGCTTGTTCCCCTTTTTTAATAGAATGGAAAAGTATTTGTTTACACCATAGGTGCATTTTCTTTAAAAGCTCGGAAACAAACATTAGCTTAACAATTTGGCATAATACTACTCTGTGGAGGCTTGTTACTGACTTAGCAGAAGCAGTCACTTCTCTCAGTGGCAGACCCTATGACAAAGGAAAGAATAACTTCTAGTTGTTCAAGGCTTTAGACACGCTGGAATAATGGACCCTGATATTGCATGAGTAATACAAAATAGCTGATGTAGTTTTCAAGCAGAAAGGATCCTGTATAGACAATAAAAGTCATGGCAGTCTTGTATTTTAACATTAAAAACTAGATCTAAAGAACTAGTAACAAATGACCTTACAGGAGATAACTCTGACTCTTCGCTGCTATGTTGCTTCAAAGTTGGTCTTGACTGTCTCCAGATAAGAAGTAATTGGCATTTTCATGTCTTTCTCAGACACCACAGAATAAAATCAACAAGAACTGAAGACAAACAGTCTATTTCTATCTTAAGTTGCAACCTCAGATAGTACAGTGTAGTAATCTATGAAATTTGTTTTCAGAATTTGCAAGCAAAATAATCTACTTACTGTGCATACAGTGATTTGAAGCAGAATATGTATACCCCACTTACAGTCAGAATTGTTCTGAATTTTTCATACTCTAATATGAATTACTTTGTTTCTGTATAGGTGGCAAACTCTGCTGTCAGTGGATGACCTGATAGAGAAACTAGTGAAGAAACTGGAACTGAATGGAGAATTAGACAACACATACATCTTTTACACATCAGACAATGGCTTCCACACCGGTAAAATTTTCACTGCTTACTGAACTTTTGTAGAAGGTCCAAGAATTGCATAACACTTTACCCTCGTGACCACCCCAGAAAATGGGAACGGCAGCTGTGGAGAAATGTAGACATGAGAAGTACTGATTTGAGTTGCAAAACAATGTGGAGTTGCAGTGTAAGGTGTTTGGGGTTTTTATTGTTTAGTTGTTTTTTGTTTGGTTGTGGTTTTTAGCATCAATTTCTTACCGCTGTATCCTGGTATCTGTAAAATGAGGACAGAAATGGAGGGAGGATATCTGTGTTCTGTAGGAAGAGTTGCCGTGAAAGAGTTAACGAGTAAAAATCAGTCGCAAGACCTGTCTGTATCATGTTGTACAACTAAAAATGCAGTATCTAAGCTGTTAAACGTTGTAAGATACGGCTTATACTTTGAAGTTGTTTGTGCCTATCCTTCATGTAGTTCAGGTTAAGAACCTCTTCTGACTTCTCAAAAAATTGGTTGCTGGAAATATGTAACACAAGACTCTTAAAATGTAAAACAAGAAGCCATTTAACTTTTTCCATTTTCTCCTGTATAGGCCAGTTTTCCTTGCCAATAGACAAACGGCAGCTGTACGAGTTTGATATCAAAGTTCCATTGCTAGTTCGAGGACCAGGGATAAAACCAAATCAGACCAACAAGGTAAGAAAGAAGTGAGATCAGAGTAAGCACTTACTTTTAATGTTGTTTCACAGTTATCAACTTTAGGTAATAATTCATCCTCCCGCATATATATGTATCAATGAAATGAAATAGATGGGGTGGTAGGAAGTGCAAAGACCTCATTCTAAAAAGCTGTGTGCTCTTGCTTGAATCAGTAGATTTAAGTAACTGCAGGCTACAGAAATCAACGAGGTGTGCAACACTTTCCAAAGACCCTGCCATTGCTTGGGAATATTACAGGGTCCATTAGCCTATAAAGATGAAATTAAGTAGCGTTTAGGTGTACTTAAAATTACAAATACTTTAAAATACAGAAGTCTCATTACATCTGTTAGGTTCTGGTCTTCTGAAGTAAGTTTTCCTCACCCTGCAGATGCTTGTTGCAAATATCGATTTGGGTCCCACTATTCTGGATATCGCAGGGTATGACTTGAATAAGACCCAGATGGATGGGATGTCACTATTGCCACTGTTGGTAAGTAGACAGACAAGGACAGTAACAAGTAATTCTTGCAGGGGTGATTCTTCAATGTGAATACTACTTCCTTTGACAGACTAGGTTGACTGATAACACAGATTCTTCCCTTGATGGCATTTTCACACAGGATGTTCGTAGCTTAGTGAAAAAAGTAGGCATGCTGTTTAAATGCAGATGTATTTTGATAAGCCCTACAACTTTGTGGTCATTTTGTAACAGAAAGTTGTGCCATCCTGTGGCTAATCTTGCCATTTGCAGTAATTCCTTTTTTGAAGGCTGTTTGTTGTTTCCCCCTTGCATCCTCCCTCCCCTTTCCTTAGGATTTCTCAGCATAGACATAGGAGAAAAGCAGACTGCTTGCTCTTAAGCCTTTGGTTTGCCTCAATTTTCAGTAGAACTAGTGTTTCCCCCTGAACTCTGGAGAAATGCATGTGGCTTTATAAAGTAAACCTGACCTTTCCAATAAGTGAGCAGAAGCCTGTTTAAATAAAGCTGCTTGCAGTTGATCCTTTTAGTTTTAATTAAATTTAGTCTATAAATTGAAGGCAGCTTACTCGGAAATGTAGGAGATAATCCAGATTTAAAACAGTGCTTTGCTTTTAAAACCTTGTATCCAAACCTTAAGCTGTTCTTTAGACAGAAGCAGGTAAAAGGCATCTAGTTTAAACTGATGGAATCAAAACTGTGAAACTCACTATTTTGCTGTGTATGCTTGTGATGGTGCTGTGTATTAACTTCAAACTTCCCTCTCCCTCTGTCTTTTAAAATGCAGCTACAAATAGAGCAGCTTAAAACTTAGGTGCTTCTTAAAGCTGTTTATCTTTTCTTACGCCAAGGGTATCTTTTTCCATCTGTTGCAGTAGTCCGATACAAACCAAAGAGAACCAGCGTTGTTACAGGGACCTTGTCTGTAACATCGTAGTATCTGGCCATGTGGCTCCTATTTTGTATTACTGCATGATTCTTTATAAACCCAAGATGGTACTTTAGTATACCTTCTTGTGAGGGTTTTGTACTTTTTGCGTTGGATCCTTGTCTTCTAGTTACACAAGATATTCTAACTTAAGGCTGAAAATTATTTTAAGACTGACTCAAACTAGGGACCATGACTCAAAGTGCCTTGTAAGCAGTGAGCAGCATTAGTGTTATACCAGGCATGGAGAATTTCTTCTGTTTCACAGTGCAGTGAATACTGAGTCATGTTAACTTCTTCTCCTAGAGAGGAGACAAAAATGTGACGTGGAGATCAGACTTCTTGGTGGAGTACCAAGGAGAAGGATACAATGGCAGTGACCCTACCTGTCCTGGCCTAGGACCTGGTGTCACGGTAAGCAGGATGAGATCCATTGATATTAGAAAATAGCTGCTGAATTAAACCTGTTTGCTGTGTGGACTAACCTGTTCTAGAAGCAAGCTCACAGTGTCTTGGGAAGCAGGAGCTAGCTCTGTAGGTCCTGTGCAGCATTTAAGAATCAGAGGGAGGCATTCAGCCGTGCAGAACTGATGTGTCCATATGACCACAGACAGCAGTCACGCTTTCAGTGGGAATCGATAGGGCCTCGGGGTTGGAGAAATACGCAGGAAGGTGTGGGCTTGGCAAAGTGGGTAGCAGTGACATGTTCTTTCTAAACTTCCAGTGACCTCATCGCACAATTCTTACATGTAACTATTATTTAAGTCACTAACTACTTCCTGAACCAAAGATCATAGAATCATTTAGGTTGGAAAAGACCTTTAAGATCATCCAGTCCAACCATTAACCTAACATTACCAAGTCCACCACTAAACCAATTAAGTGGTTTGCTTTCCATAAAGCATCCCATTGGTGTTATCTTTAGTACTGCGTGTTGTGCTGTTCTCTTCAGTGTATGTACCTTAGCTTCCCAGGCAAAATGCACTGGATCACGGCAAGTTCACTTTCAAGTTTAGAAGAGCTGAGTTTTTGTTTAAAATCCCCGGTGGAGACTTGCATGTGTTCAACTAAGATCCTGGTGTTCACCAGTTAACTGCAGTTGGCTTGAGCTGGTATAGACTCTAGGAGAAGGATTGCTACTTCTTTTTTTTTTTTTTTTTTCTCTGCTCTGAAGTTTTTGTTCACTGCTCACTTGACAGCACTGCTTCCCAGACTGTGTCTGTGAAGATTCCTATAACAACACATATGCTTGTGTAAGGACACTGTCAACTTCCTGGGACCTGCAGTACTGTGAATTTGATGACCGGGAGGTAAGTCTCTGTCTGCATAGCAGATGTTAACTGTTCACAACTGTGCGAGCGACTGTCTGCGCTCTTATCTGCTTTCAAGGTTTCCATAAAGTTCTCTGAAAAGCAGACTAGCATTGCTTGCAGGATTAACAGTGAAGCATTTATCTACTGGTGAGAATGTTTGACCAAAACTCTGGTGGGGTTCTGGGAAGAAAAAAAAAAAGGGGGGGGAGGAGCGAGTGAGGAAGGGACAATAGCCTAAACTGTGATTATCATCTTCTGGTATCACCTAACAGCCTCAGAGGGAGCTGTGCTGGGGCTGGGTTCAGTTCTCTGTCCTACCCTAATTCCATGTGGCAGAATCTTCTGTATGACAATATTTTCTGTTACGTTGTACCTCTGCTGTTCTTATGTTCAGCTGCAACTCTTTTCCTTGGGGAGAACTGAAATCCCAGGCTGACCATTTCTCTTCTATCACTCACTTGTTTGCCTGGCAAAAAGGTTTTTAAGTTACAACAGTGAGAAAGGTCTCTAACCTGATCTTAAGTTGTTTGGGTATAAGGGACATAATGTCCCTGCTTCAGAAGCTGTTCAAATTTCACTAGCAGAGCGCCCGCTGTATGTGCAAAACTTGGTGTGTTACAGAGCTGATCTTTACTCAGCTTTTACCCATTTGTGCACAGTTGCTCCAGAGAGCATATTGGGTGTGGGGCAACCGAGTCACAAATCTTATGAACTGCATTGTCAGCAGATGTGCAATAAATGCATAAACAGCAGTAATCCCATCATGCCATCACACAAAACGTTTTCTGGCAGTCTACAATGAACAAGTTAAAGCAGGGGAGTAAATCCCACAAGGTGTGTTTTGTGGTAAGATAGCAAGAAAGACTGTATAAGAGATCAAGATGCTGATGAGAATTAAAAGTAGGCTCCAAAGCTGATTTGATAATACACTAAATGTCCCATTTTTTTTCCAGTAAGAAGGTATGGCTGTTGCATTTCTGGGTTAGCTAAATTAAGAGGAACAGTACTGGGGAAGATGGAGCAATGTGGCTTTTAAAACCTTGTGTTGAACCTTACAGAACCTGAACAGTCTGTCCAGATGCATCTTTATTTAACTTAGACACAACTCAGCCAGTTTTAATCAACATTGTCTGCAGTCACGCCTCCTACTCTTTGTAGCACAGACAAAACCTCAGCTGAATTCTTGATATGTTTGACTAATATTTGTCCCACAGAACGGTTTAGAGATTTAATGTACCAAAACCCAAATCTGCCCTAAAATCCTCCAGACAAACCTTCTCAAAGCACACAAAAAAGCCTTCTCAAAGTGTGCACACACAAAAAAGATTTCTTGTGTTAGGCTCCTAGCATACTTGTATTCAGCATATTTTGTACATGTAGTCATGACACCTGTCTGAGTTTGAGAGCTGGAAGTACCTGATGAGCATATAAGGGTGCTATGATGGTCATGAAATTGTGTATTTTGAGATCCATTAATGAAAAGACAGCCAGCCGAGCTGTGGCCTCTTGCTGTGGTCTTACGGTCATTAGATGTGTTCCATTTCTGTGTTAGAGAAAAATCTGCAGTGTAGCAGAAGAGTACTTTAGGTGGAAGTAAAAACTTTTCCAACAATACTGTACTATCACAAAGCTTTAGCTTTACCTACACACTCTCCTGTCTTTGACCCCTTAGACACATGGCTAAATATGGCTTATGAGTGGGGATGCTGCAATGCAGTTGAAAATAACATTTGAGACTATATGCTGTCATAGTGTTCTTCCCAAATGATATGATGAAATGTTAATTAGCATTTAGGACTTAATACAGTGCAGGAACTTTCTTCTACAGGTGTTTGTGGAAGTGTATAACTTGACTGCAGATCCACACCAGATCAATAACATTGCTAAAACAATTGATCAAGAAATTCTAGAAAAGATGAACTATCGATTAATGATGCTGCAGTCCTGTTCTGGAGCAACTTGCCGTACACCAGGTGTCTTCGATCCCGGGTAAACACTGGTTCAAATAATTATTATAATACTTTTAAATATAACCACGTATTTTTAAAATTAAGCTTTTATAGAGGGTATTTATGATGAAATACAGTATTACTGACATACATACTGTTGTTTAATACAGATGCTTTCTTGATCCTTCTATTTTTTAATGTTTAATCTCTTATTTTAATTTAATCTACCAAATATAACTTGATGGTGTTAATACTACTGCTTTAATCTTGTCAGCCATTGTTGACTTAAAGTAGCTGAAGGTTACAGCTGTGCTGAGTAGTTGGAGAGAAGTGACCTGCAAACAAGGAAAAGCTCTGCAGGTTTGTGTAGGCAGGAATTTCCCAAATACTTGCTGTGATTGTTCCTGGAGATGCTGTTAGCAAAGCATGTTTCCTGCAGGACCTATGTTGTATTAGTCAGCTGTTGTAGGTAAATAGCACTTCTTACCTCTAAATTCAGTCCGTAATCATTTGGACTGAAGCTTTTTTAAGCATTATTTAAAATGTCCTTACGGTTGTGCTACTTGAGTTTGTAATTTGAGGCAGCAAAGCTTTCTGTTAGAATGCATCTCCTGAATGCTTAATGTTAGACATGTCAATATGCTGTTGGTATGTTGTAGCTAGTATTTATTTCTTTAGAGACTATCAACTCCTTAGTTGTGCATCGTTATAATTCATCTGTTGTAATACGTAGAGAGATTGTCCCTACCGCATACTATCAAGAAAGCGACTAGCCATGTAGCCCTGTACCAGAGCTGTTCTTGAAATAAGCTCTTTCTAGACGCGTTGGTTGCTGTGGGCTGACTGGAGCTCACCTAGACTCTGTTCCTCTCTTACAGGCACAGGTTTGACCCACGGCTCATGTTCAGAAATCACGGTGTTCGGGCTCGGAGGTTTTCTGCACAGTCCTTATAAGGCATTTAAGAGCCTCTTGCAATCCGCTCCACTGACCAGTTTCTCAGTGACTGCAGCAGGTCTGTCTCTGTAACTCTCGTTCATCGCAGCCAGAAGACTTTTAATGGGCTATTCAAACCCTGCGTGGAAGAAAAACCCTTGTCTTTAGCTGGTTGCCTTGTGCAATATGTATATTTTACAGCTGAACTGTAACTCTGAATCGTTAGGCACAGCTAATCTGTCTTGCTCAGATAGTTGATTACCACCTTTGTCTTTCAAGTACCTTTTCATATCACAGGCACAGAGGTGAACCTCTGCCTATGAATCTGAACAGCTTATTTTGTTCTAAAAATCAATAAATGCGTATTTGAGTCGGGTTAGATAGGCAGGTGCTATTGCACAGTAATGCTCACCCATATTCAGTGTCATAGTCTTTCTTAAAAGCTATGTTTAATTATAGGTTTCCTGTATCGAGCTCAAAGCTGTTAATGACAATAGCAAACTAGCCCAAAATAGCGTAGGAAGGCATTAGTCAAAACTGTAGGAACTGACTAGCAAGTGTCTTGTGCAGAATTAAAATCCGTATGTTAAATATTCTCTTTCACTGAGACCACTTCAAATGAGACCAATGAATTTTGTAGGACAGCTTTGGTAGCTTGCAAACGAGAATGTAATTTCAACCTCCTTCCAGTGTGAAATGCTGGAATGGGTTATTATGTACTACTGAAAAAACTCTTAGGGTTTAATATAGGCTTCCTAGTGAGTTAAACAAAGAGTGATGAGACTAACAAGTACTGAAATAAGCGTGCCCGTGTTTTGAGCTAATGCTTAAGTCTGTTTTAATACGTGAATGGAAGTAATGCTCAAAAAAAAATACCCCACAACCCCAGCCAGGGCACCACAGTAGAGTTGATCTGTCTCTAACCTCCAAATGTCTTGAATTGTCTAACATCTTATGTTGATTAGATTCTTGAAGGTAAATTATTCTGAGAGCAAACTAGCCAAAAATAAATAAATCATTGCTCACTAGAAGTTAGGCTAAGAGGGCTATTTTAGGCAGTTTTAAGTACTTCATAGAGTGTTGCTTTTTGGCTGAGACATAACTACTCAGAACCTGCAGTAAGTGGCCTTGACACCAAAGGACTGACGTCAGATGTCTGACTGCAGTACGCTATCACTTTGTTTCCCTTTGGAAGGGTGATGTTGTCTTTTCAACCTTCTGATTTAGGCTTATGTGAAATGCAGCCATCACTTGCACCCAAACTTTGAGTATCTTTCTAAATCTTGAAAAACACACAAACTTTTGTTAGCATACAACTTCTGTATAGATTCACTGGCAAAACACCTTCTAGAAACACTGAACTGTGTATCTTTTGCAAGACAAGTTCATGTTACTTGTTGGGAAATCCACTGTTTTATCAGGCAAGATAATCTTTCCCTTGTCAAACAAAGTGTGGCACAACTATTTAGTTTTTAGTTCGTTATTCCAGATCTTTCACCCAAATAGAGAGCATGATGATTTCAACTTCTGTCAGATAAAACCTTCTACTAAGTAATCATTAAGTAGGCAACAAAGTATGACTCTTTTGAAGCTGTGAAGGTGCATACCCTGGTGCACAGATCCACAAACTGGATACAAGCAATGCTACAATAAGATAAGTTGAACTTTCTTTGCTTTTAATTCTGAAGCACAGAAGTCCTTCATGTAGCTTAGAGTTGCAAACTTCTGTGATGGTCTACAGGTTAGATTTTGTAGAGCTTTTGTCTCAAATCTAACTCATTGTTTCAAATCTTTAGAGTGACCAAATATTTGGAGACAAAAAAAAAAAATCGCTTGAAAGGTAACTTTTCAGCTGGAACATCTGTACAAATGCAGAGGTTTTTGGATAATCAAAAACCTTGCATGCTTTCAAATACTCAGGACTTTTTTTTTTTTTTCCTCCGCTACAACTGTAGCTTTATCCTGTTCTTTGTTTCTCAAGCCTTAGTATTGCCCATCAATGCCCTTCAGACTCTGTCTTGTCTTTAAAAACAAAACCAAAGTTGTTTTCATGCTCTCAAGCATTTTCTTGCACACTGAGATAAACCTAAAGCTCATTTATGTAGTGTTTTGCTCAGATAATTCTAGCAACTTAGACTTGTTCTTTGTTTAAACTCTGTTTTGGAAGCTGTGTGGAGGTTAGAGTGAAATACATTGATTGCTGCACATTAAAACCCTCAACAGTTCTATCAAATCTAGGTCATATGTCAAGTTTCTACTTGAGTTAAGTTTCAGTGCAAGTAATGTGTGTTATGATGCTTCTCAATAGAAAAAGAAACCTTTGTTATAGGTACACCAGCTTTTCTTAAAGTGATCTTAAGCCATAACAAGGAAATTTTCTTTTGAATTACTTTCTGTCTAATAACTAACATGAAAGTTGACAGACAGGGTATAGATTATTCAGTATGAGTGACCAGGTGTTTTACCCAAATTAACATTCTTGCTATCTGCACACACTTATAAAGCATTTTGTCTGTAACTAGGCTCAATAACTTAACATACTCCCTGTCAGAGAACCACAGTATAACTGAAATCTGTCATAGGTAGTAAATGTTGTATCAAATTGAAATTCAGAATGAAATTAGTCAGTCCTTACTTAACCAAAAAAGAGAATA